TTTCCTCAAAACCAAATCATGAAAGCTCTCCATGTTTTATTAAGTACATGATACATCTATATTTATGAAAATTCTGCATAAAGAGCCTCGACGTAAAAATCCTTTAACAATGTAATCAATGCTAAAATTTTAAAAACGATTTAATAAATCAATAAGCTGTTTTGTGGTTAATCAAAGTATCATTGCATTAATTAAAAAGAAAGTGAGAATCATTGGTTTTCTCATCAATCTAATAGCTTCATGAATACAGACAATCAACTTATTCATGACTTCAAGTGACACAATTATGAAAACACAAGCTGCATCAGTTCTTTCTTGCTGAAGTGGTTGTTTGCATGCAAGTCAAAGACAGAATACAATTTTACAAATGACTCTGGAAAATTTCAATAGTTGTGTTGATTCAAACTAAAGCTTGATTCATCATGTCCACTGAATGCCAACTCGTTTTTAGACAAATGTTAGACAACCTTAATTTATATTTACCTTTTCTTCTTATTATGCCTTTATCCTCATTATGTCGTTTCTCTTTTTGTTCTTGAAAATAAAACTTCAACACCCTGGAAAAAATCCTATTTATCAAGTTCAAAATTTTATAAATTTGAAGAACAAAATTTCATTTTATCTTTCCTGAAATCGTCAAAAAAATGATGCTTGTTTCTACATAAATGTTTGTCCAAGTTTTGGATTTGCACGAAACAGAAAGGAGTATGACCATGCAGTTAACTACTGATTTTTGTCCTAACAAACACATATGTAAACAATCTTTCTTCCCTTATCAAGATGATCAGAGCCTCCTGCCTCTCATTTCAAGTCTTAGCGTGCACTTTGCATGGCTTGCGACATTCTGCTTTTTAGCATTTTGTGCAATGGAAAAGCCTTTGTAAAAGCTGAGAAACACTTAATATATCTTGCTCTTTTATCTGCAGATTAGAGATGCAATTGTATTTTTAAATGCCATAAAACTTTAGCTAAAACGATGAAAACTTTGAGAGTATTTAAAATAGTTTCCCTAAAAAATTTGAGCACCCTCAAAAGAAAAAATTCTGCAGCTGATTTATAATCAACCTTCCCCCAAAAAGGCATTATTTCATCAGCATTTATTAAAAACTTATGTTTCAAGTAAAATTCAATGAAAATAGTTCATTGACTACATTAAATTTTGCCTGATATTAGTCTTAAAATTGATAAAGAATTTTGACCATTAAACTGTCAATCTTCGTAGCCTTAAAAAATACGATTGGGTGCTATCCAAATAATCTATCATTTGTTACAAATGGTTGCAGAACAAAAAAATTTCACAACTCATATTTGAACACGTGCATTAGACTCTAGAATGCATCATTATCAACCTTAGTCTATTCAAGAAAAGGCTGTTACAACATTTTAAACAATTCTTAAAAAGAGTAGCTATATTTGCTGTTCATGACGATAAAAAATGTGAACTATCCTGTAAATATCGTGTTGTTTTTAATGTTAAAGGCATTTGTTTGGATTAACACTTTAGGAGCCTGGCCTTTTCAAACGTTCGTACACGTCTCGTTTGGTGATTTTGCCTGTGAGCAACAACGGTCTCGAGAGGGTTAAAGATGCTTCAATTGACAAGAGCTGTAGCATGTACCCTGTTATTTAATAGTTACCTATGTTCATTTGCATTTATAGCATGATGCAGGCAAAGTTGAATGAACGAATAAATAACAAAATAATGTATGTATGAGTTAATATATTTGATTTCATCAAATGTAAAAAATTCTCGACTTTCATGATAACTAATACATTTGTCTTGTATATTAAATTTTTGGAATTGCTTAATTTTACTTGTCTTATTGATAGAATAATTTTTTTAGATGGAATCAAGAGAAAACAGAAATCTATTTTACATCAGAAAAGTAATTAATGTGGTACAAAAGGAACTTGCTCAGTTCTTTGTCAAAGAATGGAACTCTCGTTACAAATCAACACATGGAGAAGGGGATGATACACATAAGAGTGGGAACAAATTTTACACTTTGGAATCGAGTAGAAAGTTACATAAAGAATTACAGTTAAAATATCAGGATGGAGACACCAGTAAGTGGGACTGTACGACATTATTTAATGCAATACTTTTTCAAAATCAATTGGAAAGCATCTTAACAAAAAAACAAGGGATGCTGTTCAAGCACTTCGTGGTGAAAGAAACAATGACGCTCATTGGTATGAAAGCAATTACTCAGATGATAAGTTTGATGGAATAGTCAATAATTATATCATTGAAAAATCATTTCAATATTTAAAATTTTCCCTCGATGGAATCAATGAAATAAAAAATAATCGAAACAAGTTTAATTCATTTCAAATTCTTCCTTCAAAACCTAACCATTTTCTCGTTGAACGCTCTGAATTACGAGATAAAGTTATAAAAAATCTTGAAAAATTAAGGAATGATAACAATGATAAACTGACATATTTTTACATCACTGGTAATCCTGGTAGTGGTAAATCTCAACTTGCACGACAGGTTTGTGAAAAAATATCGTGTGATTGGAAAAATATAACTTCGTTTGTAATGACTCTCCATGAAAAAAATGAGGAATATCTTTTAAAAACTTACTGTGAACTTGGATACCGTTTAAACTGTGACAAGTATATGATTAAAAATTTTAAAGATGAAAACTGTTCCATCACAGACAAAGTGAAGAATTTGCGATCGTGAGTATCTACACGATTAAAATTCTGGCAAAATTGGTTGATCATTGTAGACAACGTGGAACAGCTCAGCAAAATTTCTTTGTTACTGCCCCAAGTAGGTGATCCCATGTGGATAAACGGACAAATCATAGTAACAATCCAAAACACAGATGCCGTACCTCAAGACGATAAGTTTAACAAACATATTTCTATCAAAAGTGGAATGAATGATAGGGAATGTTTTCAACTGTTGAAGCATTACACTATTGAACATGCTGATGATCAATTGTTAAATGAAGTATCGCACGCATTAGATAGTCAACCGCTGGCTTTGGCTAATGCTTATTATTATGTCAGTCGTGTAAACAAAGCAAACTGCTCATTTACTTGGAGTCAATATTTAGAGAAACTTTATTCGGAAGAAGAAGAAAACATGGACGCCACTTTAAATTTAACTCGGTATATCCTAGAAGTATGTTACAAGCTTCACTTTTAGCTGTCAGACAAAATGCTAAAGAGTCCTTAATATTGGCAAATGCTATTAACTTTTTTTCCATGATATCGTTTGATCCTATACCACGAGACATTATTGTTTTTTATGTTCAAGAAATTGATCCCAAACACTCAAAGGAAGAAATATGTCTTTATTTAAAGGACTGCTCATTGTTCTTGCATTCAGAAAATAATGACATTAGTTTACATCGCATTGTTCACAAAGCAATTATTTTTTATCAATCTGAACATTCAAATGAAGAACATGAAATTGAAACTAAGGTTGATCAAATATCAAAAGCACTTTACATGTTTAAAGAGAGAGACGACGATATCAAATTAGTACCACATCTTGAAAAACTTGCTCAATTATTAAAGACCAACAAGACAAAAATCAACATGAACACTTTACAAGTTTTCAAATATTTTGTTGACAGATTAAGACATTTTGGAAAATACGATCTTGCTCTTGAACTATTGGATAAATTTAAATCAGAAGAATCTAGTTATGACAAAGCTTGGTATTTCAATATCCTTGGTCTTTTATACCATGACACCGGGAAGTATAGCAAAGCTAAAAATCATCATGAAAAGGCTCTGGAAATTCGAAAACAATCGTTAGGTCTAAATCATGTTGATATCGCTGCGTCTTTAAACAATCTTGGAATGGTGTTTGAAAGAACTGGAAACTACGACAAAGCTATAGAGCTTCATGAAAAAGCTCTGGAAATTCGAAAACAAGCGTTAGGTCCAAATCATGTTAATGTCACTGCCTCTTTGAACAATCTTGGTGTGGTGTTATATAAAACTGGAAACTACGACAAAGCTATAGAGTTTTACGAAAAAGCTCTGGAAATTAGAAAACAATCGTTAGGTCCAAATCATGTTGATGTCGCTGCGTCTTTAAACAGTCTTGGTGTGGTATTAAATGAAACTGGAAACTACGACAAAGCTATACATTTTCATGAAAAATCTCTGGAAATTCGAAAAAAGTCGTTAGGTTTAAATCATGTTGATGTCGCTGCGTCTTTAAACAATCTTGGTTCTGTGTATGATGAAACTGGAAACTACGAGAAAGCTAAAGAGTTTTACCAAAAAGCTCTGGAAATTCGAAAACAATCGTTAGGTCCAAATCATGTTAATGTCACTGCCTCTTTGAACAATCTTGGTGTGGTGTTATATAAAACTGGAAACTACGACAAAGCTAGAGAGTTTTACGAAAAAGCTTTGGAAATTAGAAAACAATCGTTAGGTCCAAATCATGTTGATGTCGCTGCGTCTTTAAACAGTCTTGGTGTGGTATTAAATGAAACTGGAAACTACGACAAAGCTATACATTTTCATGAAAAATCTCTGGAAATTCGAAAAAAGTCGTTAGGTTTAAATCATGTTGATGTCGCTGCGTCTTTAAACAATCTTGGTTCTGTGTATGATGAAACTGGAAACTACGAGAAAGCTAAAGAGTTTTACCAAAAAGCTCTGGAAATTCGAAAACAATCGTTAGGTCCAAATCATGTTGATGTCGCTGCGTCTTTAATCCGTCTTGGTGTGGTGTTATATAAAACTGGAAACTACGACAAAGCTAAAGAGTTTTACGAAAAAGCTCTGGAAATTCAAAAACAATCGTTAGGTCAAAATCATGTTGATCTCGCTATGTCTTTAAACAATCTTGGTTTGGTGTATGATGAAACTGGAAACTACGAAAAAGCTAAAGAGTTTTACGAAAAAGCTCTGAAAATTCAAAAACAATCGTTAGGTCCAAATCATATTGATGTCGCTATGTCTTTAAACAATCTTGGTTTGGTGTTTGATAAAACTGGAAACTACTACAAAGCTGAAGAGTTTTACGAAAAAGCTCTGGAAATTCGAAAACAATCGTTAGGTCCAAATCATGTTGATGTTCCTGCGTCTTTAAACAATCTTGGTGTGGTGTTATATAAAACTGGAAACTACGACAAAGCTATAGAGTTTTACGAAAAAGCTTTGGAAATTCGAAAACAATCGTTAGGTCCAAATCATGTTGATGTCGCTTCGTCTTTAAACAGTCTTGGTGTGGTGTTATATAAAACTGGAAACTACGACAAAGCTAAAGAGTTTCAATAAAAAGCTCTGGAAATTCAAAACAATCGTTAGGTCCAAATCATGTTGATGTCGCTGCGTCTTTAAACAGTCTTGGTGTGGTGTTAAATGAAACTGGAAACTACGACAAAGCTATACAATTTCATGAAAAAGCTCTGGAAATTCGAAAAAAATCGTTAGGTTTAAATCATGTTGATTTTGCTGCGTCTTTAAACAATCTTGGTTCTGTGTATGATGAAACTGGAAACTACGACAAAGCTAAAGAGTTTTACCAAAAAGCTCTGGAAATTCGAAAACAATCGTTAGGTCCAAATCATATTGATGTTGCTGGGTCTTTAAACAATATTGGCATGGTGTTTGTTAAAACTGGAAATTACGACAAAGCTATAGAGTTGTACAAAAAAGCTCTGGAAATTGAAAAACAATCGTTAGGTCCAAATCATGTTGATGTCGCTGCGTCTTTAAACAATCTTGGTGTGGTGTTTGAGAAAACTGGAAAGTACGACAAAGCTAGAGAGTTTTACGAAAAAGCTCTGGAAATTCGAAAACAATCGTAAGGTCCAAATCATGTTGATGTCGCTGCGTGTTTAAACAGTCTTGGTGTGGTGTTAAATGAAACTGGAAACTACGACAAAGCTATACAATTTCATGAAAAAGCTCTGGAAATTCGAAAAAAGTCGTTAGGTTTAAATCATGTTGATCTCGCTACGTCTTTAAACAATCTTGGTTTGGTGTATGATGAAACTGGAAACTACGACAAAGCTAAAGAGTTTTACGAAAAAGCTCTGGAAATTCGAAAGCAATCGTTAGGTCCAAATCATGTTGATGTCACTGCGTCTTTAATCAGTCTTAGTGTGGTGTTATATAAAACTGGAAACTATGACAAAGCTAAAGAGTTTTACGAAAAAGCTCTGGAAACTCAAAAACAATCGTTAGGTCCAAATCATGTTGATCTTGCTATGTCTTTATACAATCTTGGTTTGGTGTTTGATAAAACTGGAAATTACGAAAAAGCTACAGAATTTCACAGAAAAGCTAAGAAAATTCGCAAATAAACGTTAGGATCTAGTCAGGTTGATGTCGCTAAGTCTTTTAAACAATCTTGGTGTAATGTATTATGAAACTCGGGAATATGACAAAGCTTTACAGTTACACATTGGTAGCTACGTGTTTCAAAGAAAATTGTGCCTTCCAAATTATGTTAAGCCTTTTTCTAAGTCAGCTCCCCTCTCCCTGAGAATGTAATTTTGGTACTGAACAAAACGTTTGCAGTTTGCAGTTTGTTGGGTAAAATGAACCTAAAAATGAAATGGTCCTTGTCTATATATAGTTTCACTGATATCTAGTCAATAAACTTACTCTACAGCCCAGGAATCATCCTAAGTAAAACTTAGAACTGCCCATGCCCTGAATCTGGCATTCTCGTTTAGACTTTATTTCTAAAATAATTTTGTTTTATGTTATAACCAAGTAGTAACTTTTATTGTATGATTCACAAACATACTAAAGTGTATTGGGATGACAGAATTTTATAACATAAATATGGTTAAATAAATACTATCCTGTTAGTTTTTCATATTCTTTAATACATTCAGTAATTTTTTACCCAGCTCCATAAGCCTATGACCATATTCCATATTCCTATAATTTCCAAGAGGTACACATTTCATACCATACATACCACCCCAACATGCTGCAGCCAATATTCCTGTACTGTCACTATCTCCACCATGAAACATAGCAAAGAACACAATTGAAACCAGGTATCTTTTGCCACCATCAAAGAATGGTAACCAATCATTGGTGCATCATGACCATGGGACCCACCCCAACCTGCATAACTCAGAGATTTATAAAAAGCATCACGTTCAGGTATGTTATATGTCACTGGAAACTTTCATTCAATGGTTCCACTCATTAATCCCCCTAGTTCAAGATATGACTCCCAACTAGTAGCGCCAGGCTTTCTTGTTTTCTTCTACATCTCGACCAACCTTCTCAATGTATTCCCAAACTTTGGGTAAAACACTTAAAAGTCCTGCTCTCCCACTTTTTGGAGGTATCTTCTGTATAGCATACGCTGTAAATAAAGCTGCAGTAACAGCCCCAAGATAACCTATAATTAAAATTTTTATCTTTAAAGATTGCTAATTTCAAGTCACTTAAATTATGATGATCCTATTTACATAATAACAGCATTTTGATGTGAATCATGGATTCAATGGCTCTAGTAATGAAGATATAAAAGCAAGAACTGCAATGGCAATTCAAACAGCTTTTAGAAGACAGAAATTTTGAAATGTGGAAAAGCGATAAAAAGGATAAATCAAAGATATGGTGATTAAAAGCAAGAATGTTAGAAGGATGGAGGATTTGAGATGTCGTTCTGGAATTACATAATTTTTTTTTTCTGGAATTACTTACATCTTTTATTTCATTTATAAATTGATATTAGATAAAAGGATATGAAACATTCATGGTAACGGCTTGATCAAGTAAGTAATCAAAGGAAGAGTTGAAGGTAAAACATCTAAGAAAAGCAAAAGGATTGAAAAGCTAAATTACTATAAAGATTTGTCAAAATGAAAAGCAATGCAGATAACAAGAAAACCTAGCAAACTTTATACAAAGCAACACTTGTCGATAGACAGAACACTAGACATTAGTGACTTGATAATTGATACATGATCTGAAATCGTTGCTTTATTATGAAAGGTGAATACCTGTGGGGTGATTATGAGTCATCCTTCCACTTTCAACAGCAATTTCAATTAACATTTCAATTTGATCTTCACAAGGAAACATCAAACCTATACACATGGATCTCATAGCTGCACCACATCCGCCACCTCATTCATTAAAGGGTATAATGTAACCTTTTTCCTCAAGAGGTTGTAACATGAAACATGCGTTTGTTGTGGTCTGACCAGGAGCTCTTTCCCACATATCCTCAGCACATGTCTTCTTGTACTTTGTAACCATAATGCACAATAACTCTTCCGTTGTTGTCCATTCAGAAACCAACGCTTCTGCTGTAGCAATGTGTAGTACAGTGTCGTCACTAACCCTCCATCCTTTAATGTCAATTTTATCAAGTCCTCCGAGTTTTTCTAGTTCTTCATGAATTTGAGTACCACTGTAACAGAATTCCCACAAACCATTTTTATAACCTAGAGCATCCCCCCCACTCCACTGAGAACCATAACTGCTTCGTATTTCTAGGATAATTCGACCGTATATTTATAAGCCATTTTTAATGTTTACTTCAGGGTATTTTCATGAACGTTTAACATGGATTTTTGAAACGCGGAAAACACCAGGCTTACCTCAACTTATAAAAACAAAAATCTTTTCTTTGCTTTGTGTCAATATTGTTTCAAACTATTCTGTTTAGATTTAGACGAGAGCGTTGGGAGACTGGGACTGTAATCCTTAATCTTTACCCGATTCCATGATCTTTAATCTGATTAACATGTTGCTAGTATCAAAGATACGTTAAGAGTTGAAAAAGCTTTTTTAGCGATAATATTGGAAAATATGGCGTTTGCATTGGTGAATTTTTACAACGAAAATACATGGGATATCATTCCATATTCTAACATCATTTTTTAGGATGAAAATATGTCGAAAGACAAAGATGAACTTAAAGGATTCAAAACATTAGTCATGTGGAGCGATGGAAAAACAAAGGGAAACGGCAAGTCGAGGGAATTTCCTGCAGAGATAATAGAGGTTTCAGGTTAGTATTTTTAGTCTGTTGTAGAATTTTTTGTAAAATTTGTAAAAGCTTGTATAATTCAGCCAAAAAGCTAATTGCTAGTGCATGAAGCTCTTTCTCTTTGTTATCATTTCTTTTATGAAACATCTTAGCTTTGCTATATATCTGTAAATTTCTGTGTGAAAATCTATTTGTTTATTTCTCTGTCTTGTTTGTAGAAATTGTCATAGTTGATATGAAGGTTGCTGTTATCAATTCAACTTACTGCTTTTTTAGGAGGGAAATACTTTCTGATAAAAAGCCTTTGCTTGAATGTTGTTCTTTCTTCTAGATAGGAATAGTTCAATTACAATATTGACAATAATGATGTGTCTATTTCCCAGATTTTAACTTGTTTGCTCTTAAATACATGTAGTAATACATTAGGCCAAACTTTGCATAAGGTCGTTTCCTTATAATTTCAGGCATGCTACTGCTCCTATTGAAAATTATTATTTTTTAATAGTTATTAAATAGTCATCTATTATTTTGTATAAACAGATAGTAAAGATTATTTGCTCAAGACAATGAGAAAAGAAGAAACTTTCTCTATAAATACTGGCAAAGGGTCTCGCAAAAAAATTCACAAAGCAAAGTTTACAATTAAAAGTGAGTGAATCAGATGATGTGGTGAGTTGCCCGAAATATTATATTGACCACATTTTGTTTATATGGTGTTTACTGCATGTTTCTCAATTATTGCTGCCATCATCTATAGTTAGCACTCATGTCACTAATGTGATGATGCATTCATGGAAATTTGTTAAGTACTCCATATGGTATTCATGATTCAAATGTATTAGCTACTAATTCTATGTTCAAAGGTCTGCATTGCTGAACAAGGCTATGAGCCTAAGAATTTAAATGAGAAGTAGTAGCTAATAACAAACTTTTCAAACAACATGTATAAAATTTTGTATTGTTGTTCTTGTTACCATCAGGAGCACAGTATTCCTAAAAAGCTAAAGGCATCCAGGTCAAAGAAAACAGAGGCTTGCTGCTCAGCCAGCCTTGCTTCACTTATAAAAGAGTTATTAACCAAGGTATGTACTATACACAATGATAAAACTAATTATTCTTATCTCTAAATTATGCAATTTTATTATTAATGAGGAATGCTAGGGAATTAAGGTCATTTTTCAGAATAAAATTTGGATGTTGTTTGTTTAAATGCTAAAAAAGTTAATACTGTAGGATATGTTCCCGTTAATCATAAAATGCTGTTAATTTGAAATTCATTTCTAGTTTCTAAGTGAAAAATCTTTTAAAATGCAAACACTGTACAGTGTAAGGCTTGTATCGGGCAATCATACAAAAGAATTTTCAACCAGTGGGGCTTATGAAATTAAAAAATTGAGATTTATCATTATAATATATTGTACTTGTTGTTAGTAAAGTACACCTTATTAGTTGGTACTAAAAAGAAAATATTGTTGAATATTGCCTAAGTTCTTGTTGATTATTTAGGAGAGTCAGTCAGATGAAGGTAGTGCATTTTGCAATGATAAATGCAAGTATAAAAAAGAAGCCTTGGAACTCAAAGAGAGGGTAAGAATGCTGGAAAATCAGATCAAAAGACTTAATAAGCAAATTGACAATGACAATGGTGAGCTTGAGGAAAATTTACTTCATTTGTATTTTCAAATCAATGCTTTCTCTGCTTTTCACTTTTGTCTTCCAAAATGGAGAAATTTGTAAATTGCTTGTTCTATTCAGTATATTTTGGATTTGAAATTTAGTGTTTGGGTGAGAAACAACAACTCAATATTACGTAGTGTCATCAACCTTTAGAAGGTTATGATATATCGTTTTAAATTTATAGATTTAGAACTTCATTAAAAAAGTAATGAGGATATGTGTGTACCTTGGAAGATTCCGCCAGGTAACTTCCACAAAGATCATTTTTGACCAGAACTTCCCTCAGTAAATCCCCGTCCACCCCATCCACCACATCTTTGTCACCCATTGAAGGTTTGCTTGTGGTGGAGAATAGATTCACCCCAGCTTTATCTGGGAGAAGTAGCTCTTACTCAAACCTTTCAAATCTTCCAGAAGAAAACCCTTCCCCCATAACAACTGCTGTGTTTAAGAGCTCTATCAATGGGCTATCAAATGAAACCAACTAAACTATGGAAGAAAGCCCTCTGGATTGCTCAAATGCAACAACTGAAGATACTTCTCTCCCCGAAATGGTGTGTTTTGTCTGTACCTAGCTTTAAATGGTACTAAGCATTAGATTTGGTTGATAAACGGACATGCAATTAAAACTGATCTATTAGAATAAATTAATTATGTAACACTGACTTATCAAATGGACATAATTCAAGTTGTAATGTGCAGCAATCCTTTTTAAATTATTTACGTTTGTGTTAGAATCGTAACTGAGGGTTGCTTTTTCATGAACACTTTGAGTAAATAAAATAGCTCCATTTAATTGGAGATGGAACATTTGGAACTCCAGTAATATAAATTTCACATGCTGTTATTCTTCAATTTATTTCAGGTCACTTTGGGACCAAATTTGGTTGTCAAAATGCATGTCCTTAAAAGAATCGTTGCGAAGAAAGTTGGATCATATGTTGCTAACTTAATGGGGGCAACCTTATCCCATGAACACATGGCTACCCACAGCTACAAGGGCCAAAAAGGGAAAAATGGTCAGGTCAAGCCTCGGCTTGATTCCATATACACTACCTCTTTAATTTGTAAGTAGATATATGGTTATTTGTGTCGGAGAACTGTTGAAAGGCATTTTTAAACATTTCAAGGACTTTTTCAGTATAAATATTTAGACTCTGCATTTTCGAGCACGTTTGACCTGCCGTAAACATCTATTTTTACATGTTCTCCTATGCAGACATAGTATATTGTTCAAACATCCTCTGTGCCATGTCTTGTATGGGACAATAAGTGGTAATAATGAAAATTTATGTTGAGTTCAAGTTACTCACCATATCTCTTTTCGTAATATACTCTATATCTTCAGTAACAAGCATGAGTGAACTTAATGATCGAACTGATTTTTATTATCTTACAAAGCAGTATTTATAGTCTTTATTACAAATAACAAATATTATTATTGGTCGGTATAGTTCCTCTATTTTAGCTATATATGGTACATAAGGAAATTTAACTAACATCAATAACTGTTCCTTGGCTGTTAGCCGTGTGGGAACGGATACATTGGTAAACCAAACTACGCACGAACTATTTCCTTAACATGTACTGTGGTTTATGAGCATGACTCAACAATTTAATGTATCTTTTAATATTTTAAACTTACTGTTGTGAACTACTATTTTGTTTTGATACTTTGTGTTTGTATTGAAGACCTAGTCAAGTTTATTAGCTTTTGTCTTTGCTGACTTCCCACCTTATGATCCATCAGAAAATATCCTTTAGAGTTGAGGTGGACATTATTCCTCTATCTTTTTTTCTAGAGCATGCAACGAGTGTGAAGTATTCAAATATGCCACGCCAGATTATAGAAGAAGATGTTGTAAAAGCTATAAAGTTCAAACTTAATAACGAGGAACAAGCATGGAATAAACAACACGAATCCTGTAAAGAGTAACATTACCTGTCTATAGTATGTTTTTCTATTAAGTCTATCCATGCAACTTAATGATATTTTTCTATAAAAGAAAAAAATTGATGAATAAGGTATGTGTGTGTTGATATGTCTGTATAGAAGGAAGTTAAATTGTTTATTATAGCTGTTATTAGTCGTTCGGTTCAGTTGTTATATTTGTAAAATATGTGTTATTATATTAGTGCTTGACGAAGCAAACTTACTTGAAATTGCAATTGTAATCATGTTATCATTGAATGGTTAAATATTTAGATCGTTTAGAAGCAGAAATACCATTATTTTAATGATGAAATCGGTGTATCTTTGCATTAAAATATACAGCGTCACTTATTAAATATAAGTTCATACTTTACAATGCAGCAAAATAGTTTTGTTCATCTTTGTATATTGTCACGACATAACATTATCAATGTCGATTGTGCTCAATTTAATGCGTCTTTGCTTTCATTTTTTGTTTTTCATGACAATCTATTCATACAACTTCCAGAACGTTAAATACCAAAACCTGAAAGTTTCAACCGTCGACCAGTTGAAGGTTTGTAAGACATAAAACAAAGAATTATCATGCGTGTTTACGCGTTGTATAAATTTGACTTTAATTGTTCGCCAACTGTTAAGTCATTTATACACTTTTTATAAATTTAGTCTTACCCTACAGCGAAGCAACGTATGAAGTGCAAAGGCTAAGTCTTCGATAACTAATGTTAACACTGTAATGTTTTAAATAAAATCTTCAAAATAATAACTTCAGCTCCCCCAAGCCCACTCCCCCCCACTGTTCAAGCATCCCTTTCCTAATACCATAAATTTTATATTATAGATAACCCTTAGCAACTTGTTATACTGTAGTTGTAGATCAATCAAACAAAGTTACAAATTTAAACAACAACAATTGCTTACTAAAAACAAATCACTGTCATTTGAAGCTAAGTATGTTTACAATGATGTGTTTGTATGTTAAAGTAGTTAAATACCTGGTAGAAATTATTAGTTGTTAAATGAAGACAGTCTATTTATTAAATATATGTGTTAATTCTTTTACTTTATGATGTATTAAATCACATTTACGCCTTATTAAACAAATTTATTTTAAAATTGAATATTTATCAACTTTGAGTAGTTTAAGTATTCTATATGAACTGTTTATTAACACATTTTCTCATTTAATTTAGGTTTATAAAACCATCTTTTATTGCTACAAACACTTTATCTGACATCATTGAGAAATGGCAAACTTGTGATTCAAATATGGACAACTTTGTGTAAAGCTTAAGGTACCAACCACATGCCTTTCATATCTGTGCATACAAAGCGAAAAAAACACTTTCTTAGGTGAACTTATTTGAATTGCACTTTGTTTTAATACTGATGTGTGTTACATGTTTGGCTTGAACATTTTTAACAACTTACAAGATGTTTCAAGTCCAATAACTATGTATTTTTCCTGTTAAGTTATATGATTCGTCTTATCAGAATATGCTATAAAGATATTAAACTGTGCTATGGCGTCGCCTGAACGATATTTGAGGGGAAGGAGAATATTCATATATATTGGATATGCTGTATAAAGTTGCTTTTGAAATTTATTGTTTTTAGCAAATTATCATATGCATTATGCATTCATGGATTTTTCCTCCCGCCAAAATCGTTCTGGCGGCACACTGCAACTGTGATTATGTCGATTATTAGTTGTTAAAGCAATTTTCCATTGAATCATTTGTTCTTACTGTCATGATATTGAATATTAACTTATGTTTGCAAAAAGAAATGGTGAATGAACGTTTACCTAAATGTTACAATATTTACTTGCTCTGAAATCTAATAAATTTGGCAGCCAAAATAACAACACTGTAATGGGTACAAAAGTAAGATTTAAGTCACAAAATAGCTAAAAAGGGGTTGAACTTCTTCCAAGGAGCCTTAGAATATGTCGATAACTTTTCTGCACGTTTCATAATGCTATCAAACAAACTGACAAATCATCTAAATATAGAACTTACACATTTGAGAAATATGTCTTACGAAAGCACAAGCAATATTACCGAAATTTCTAAACTGTCAACGAAGGTATTGTCGAAACAGCGAATTTATGTGGATGGCTGTTTATCAGACAATATTTCGAGCTGTTACAGATGGTTTTTACATACATGCACCTATAAGATCCTCGCTATATTTAGTCAGTTTATAAATGTTTATTTGCTTTTTGATTTATCTCTATTGTTCTCGTAAAAATCTCAATGGTTTTTATTGATGCTACTGATTTTTGGTTTGATTTTTCAATGTGACATTGGTCATTACTATTCAATGAATACAAATACACTAAATTTGCCATCTGTCTCGAACACACGATGTGGTTGAGTGCACAAAAGTACAGTTTTCACAGATTGTGGTGTATACTTGCAATGAAGGAGAGCCGTAATTGTCTTGCTCAAATTTTTGCGACTCCCTGCGATATTTTTAGCAGTTGAGAAACCTCGTGGCAAAGAGAATGCCTTTAAATCTTCTCCTAAGGTAGAGTACTGCAAGATTCAATGAATACTTGGACAAAATTAAAGTGTACTTTCTAAATTCATAATCGTGTCATTAATCTTACCCTACCACATTATGTTTCGTTACTTTGCATAACGACATTAAAACGCAAAATACTTGAAAATTTTTATGAGTTTATTATTTTAACGCATTGAAGGATTACTTATTGTCTTTATGAAAGGTTACAAGCTCCAAAAGGGGACAGTCAAATTAAAAATGTTTAGTCATGACGTCAATTAAAGAAATATTAACATATTTAAATTCGTGTGTTTTAACTTCAACTTCAACGGAAAATTAGTCACTTTAACTTTGAAGAAAGAAAGGTAAATTCTGTTTTATTACTGAGGAAGTAGGTATGAGTTACTTCGAATAATCAACTAGTCTTAGTGTTGTCATCGAATTCCAAATATAAAAGCTTTCACTGTAAAATGCTTTGATCGTTTGAAATTTCTTGTTGCATCGTTCAAACTCAACTCACTAAAGCTATTTGTGCAATGTAGGTGAATGTTCTACCATTTGGATAGTCTAGCAGAAAACATATTACAATTTTCTTATTCTCAATATATCTGATTAAGAATTTAAAAACGCAAACTATCGTCTTATTTAGAGTTATTCATCATGAAATCTCATACATATGTTTCGTATTTTCTTATATTGTAGATCCCACATGGATGGAGTTGTGAAATTCCCTTTATCTCCTGTGTCATTCACTTCGATTACTCTTACTAGTTTGTTATTACTTATGTGTCATGGTGATTCATGGCCAAGAATGTTTATCTGTAGTTTGGTTTCTTTCTTGATGTCAGTTGTTTGTTCATATAATGATGATGGGCCCCATTGTTATACGAACCCACTAAAGGTGGTCAACTGATACTCACAGAAGATCAACTCTGCACTAAGCATTCTTTGAGTGATAATATAACTGGAGTATTCAAGTGGTCCCTTTTCCTTCGCTCGAAGTTCCCATAAGAGTGCATTGTAAATTGTATTCGATAGAAATGGCGGTTCATGATTTAGGAGCTACTTTATTGGTTAATGATGTCGGTTACTTCGTGTATGAAATGGTATAAACATATTGAATGGACATCTCATAACGGCATATGTACGTATGAACATTAACATTGAAGTGATTGGACTATTCTACAAAGATGGAAAACAAGCGAATGGAAAAACACGATCCATGTCTTGTGGTTTGTAAGTTGTGTTGATACGTGCTGTATGAGTAACTGCATAAGATAGTTAAAAAAGGATCCTGATGGTCTATTTTTATAATTTGAACCTTAATTGTGAAAAACACCCAAATTAGGGAAAAATGTCAATAAAAGATGTCACTTGCTTTGAGAAAATAGCTGGCTTTCACTTGCTACCTTTTCTAATTACATGAAACGGTTGTAAAGAAAATTGCCATAGTGCAAAAATAGGGTTCATTAAATTCTAAAATAAAAATGTTACAACAAATTTCTATGATATACAATTAAAAACTGTGCGGTGAGGAAAAAGGAAGAGACCTACAAATTCACCTGAATTGGAATGACCACGAAAGCGTTTGAAAATCAGATATTTAAGTTTTGTTCTTTTCGATATATTTAAGTTTGCTGACATTTATAACGTGTTTTTTATAGAGTAGCGCTATGTTTCTAGACCTACTAACTGGACAATGAATGAGTCGAGCAAGTCAGAAAGAAGCAGTCCGAAGCAAGCGTCCTTGCTGAAAGATTCACACTTGCGACTTTAGTTATGCATAATGTTCACCAGTATAGCACATTTTCAAAATCAACCGTTAAAAATTTACGTAAAAATAAATTTTCACAATTGTTAAATATTCTGACAAAACACACGAGTGAAAGCCAGCTATTATTGAAGGTTTTTAATGAAGCAATGTAGAAATTTTAAATGTAATGAAATCTAGTAGACATCAAATATGATTTTTATGCAAGTCATGACGTCACTTTGGTCATTTCATTTTTCATTGTTATTGGCAGGTGAATGGTCAGGTCGTACAGACTGAATAATTTTTTCACATGATTTATATATGGGCTGCTTTTAGTTTTCATTTTTCATCTATGTATTAAAATTTCTGTTAGCACTCTGCGCTCTTTCATTTTTTATTCTTTACCAAAGACTGCGTTTCTTTTATTCCAGCACAAAACATTCACTGTGTTTAATAGGGTAGTCAGCCCACTTTTTTGTCGCTCTGTAAATTTAAATTTTTTATATGAACGATGTACGTTCCGACTACGCTGCATGTTAAAGTAGATCATCGGGATCATTGGAAACAACAAAAATATGAAACATCTTGAAACAACAAAAATTTGAGGAAATTTTTCTAAATTTTCGATCTTTTCTTTAATTGGAGGGTTTTTTACCAGATCCACCGGTTTTCCCTCACATTTCGTTTTGTTTTGAAAAAAAAACAGTGTACACATTTGGGGCCAAGCGAAGCCATTTCTCATAACATTATTTATCGTAGTTATCATGAATATTCACGTTTTTTTTCCATTTCTTGGCGTTTGGGTTTAGCTCCCAAAACACTGCAATTTAACAAAATAGGTACGCTATGCGTACATATTGGTACCCTGCAATTATACAGCTACTGAATGAAGTAGATTTAATAGACCTTTTCAAGGTTATCGTAGCCATATTGCAGGGGGTGCAAAAACATTGGGCCGAGCGCGCGGTCACGCATGGCGTCCATATAAATTACTAATAAATGCGCAAAAATTACCCTTATACATATTGGCCATTTCTTTCAAAAATATTTCTCAAACTCGTCCATTTTAATAGTCGAATTATTATTTGCGATCTTTTATACATGTGAGTCCAATTTTGTGGTAATCAAAAAGCGCAAAGTTAAAGAAAACATTTGTTTTCTTTGAACAACTTCACTGTCGTTTCAGCGATGTTCTTGAGTTCGCAAATGTGCGGAACTCATAAGCCAAGTCAAACGAACTAAACCCTAAACTAGCCGAGTAGCCGTGAGCAGTCATAGCCGAATGGTAAAAAATGCGCGTTGTGCAGTTAGATATTGCGATAATGATAAACGCTATCCTGATTATCAAGTTAAGAGGTCTCACGTAGAAAAGTTAGTTTTTCATAAGTGGCCCAAAGATCAAGCACTTGCTGAAATTTGGCGAAAACAAATTGCAAACAGCAGAGCCGATGACTTTAACCCAAAGCCTGGTGCACAAGGTACTTTCATTTGCTCAAATTATTTTCCCTTGGGAAGAACCTCAAATAATCGCTGAACGGATTATCCTTCAGTTTTTATTACGCTATCAGAGTACGAGCAATCGAGGACTCCGCTTAAACATAAAGGAAGAGAAACATGGACGACATCAAAGCGTCCTCATCAAGCCTATGACACCGAGGATTCTTATTCAAGTTTTGATGGAAATCCAGCAAAATCTGAGGCGTCTTTACTCCCTGTCCCTTTGGAATTTGAACAGTTGACGAGAGAGTATGATGTAAGGTTTCATCCGGCCTGCCATCAACTAACAGTTTTAAGTGTGTATTTGAATACTTGGTTATTTCTTCTTCTGGCTGTTTAGTCGCAATACATAATAATAAAAATAGCAATGTCACTTTACAAATAATTGGAAATACTAATAAAAGTTTGCCGTATAATAGTTCCTCGTGATACTTGTTGACTTTGCTGTAGACATGTGCGTGTGTTGCGAACTCAAGAACATCGCTCAAACGACGGTCAAGTTGTTCAAAGAAAACAAATGTTTTCTTTAACTTTCCGCTTTTTGATTACCACAAAATTGGACTCACGTGTATAAAAGATTGCAAATAATAATTCAACCATTAAAATGGACGAGTTTGAGAAATATATTTGAAAGAAATGGCCAATATGTATAAGGGTAATTTTTGCGCATTTATTAGTAATTTATATGGACGCCATGCGTGACCGCGCGCTCGGCCCAATGTTTTTGCACCCCCTGCAATATGGCTGCGATAACCTTGAAAAGGTCTATTAACATAGTTAAAATAAAATTATATATTTAATATTATTTACGTCAAACTTGCTCAAGATTTGAAAATGTTCTTTACTTATATGACCTGACACAAGCCAAATTTCCAAAAACTTACTTAGTTTTTACCTTGAGCACGAGTCATATTTTAACCCTATTTTCGTGAACATACTTTTCACTTTGAATAAAAATAGTTATTACTTGCCAAAATTTTTCTGTCAGATAAACCATTGGAAGGTCAACTATTTCCATTCAAGATTTATGCAAGATTTATGCAAGATTCTTGTACGCTGATAACTTTGGAGACGTTTTCCAAACTGTTTAGTTCTTTATACACCCTGTAGGCTATATGGCAAAGCAATATAGCTTCACAATAAGCGCCGGGAACTTTTCAAATATCGTTTGGTAAATCACAGTACCTATATTAACAAACGGATTGAGGGGCAAAGGCCCCACCCTCCAAGTCAACCCCACCCCTCAAATGATCAATGTCCTAACTAAATCAAACATTTACAGCCTGCATATCATTTCCTTATTCGTATTCTCTAAATAGAAAATAGTAACGACTGTAGTAACTCTACAGTGCATATACAAATATCTAACAAACAGATAAAATTTAAGGCGTTTATAACACATTTTTGTGAAATAAACAGATTCATATTGCACACATTTAAAAAGAAAATAACTCTTACAAACAAATCAGAAAAACTTAATATTGCACTCAAAATTGATAACGAACACATGTACTCTATCACTTAAAATGAAACGATAAACGTGTTTCCCATGTTCAAAAACCGAAAGTCTTTGTCTCTTGTGTATTTTTGGTGCTACCACATTTTTGTTTCTCCTCGTCTACCTTCGCTTTCTTTGGACTTGAAACGTCGACTGCAGAATGAGGTTGAAGTGCATTTGCAATCTGGCATTCTAACAAGTCCAACTCACTAAATTCACTCATGTCTTTAAGTGCACAGATTAAAATAAACGACGTTAAAACTACTGCATAAGGACATTAATCTTTTCATTTTTGAATTTTAATTACTTGTCTTACACTGAAACAATCATTACTAACTGATAATCACTTAAATGAAAACAAGGCATCTTAGGCCCCGTCCACACGTATCCGAATTCGTTCGTATTCGCAACTATTTTGTTGCAGTTACGCTTATCGTCCACACATATCCAGCAAAAAAGCCAGTACCTTTTTTATAAAATTTTCACTTGGCGGGCGAAAGAGGAAAAACGGCACAACAAAAATTGTGGCCTTGAGGTTTGGCAAATGCCCAAATTCTAAAGAAAAATTTTTTAACTTCAGCTTTGCTTCTGTATATCCGTAGATTTAGGAACCACAAGAAAAATAACTTGTCAACTTTTCCAACTTAATTTTTGCTTTTATTACTTTTATCAGAAACATTTTTTCTCTTCTCTCCATTTTGTAAAGTCTCAATAATATGGCTTTCCATATTCATAGACATTGCCAAATTTTGCAGGACATATTCAATGAACAATCCTACACAATATTCGAAAAACCAGAATTTGCCACAAAAGCGTAGCGAAAAAATATCGTTATCAACTTATCAATGAACCGTCGGGCGAAAACGTTAGGCTTGAATTTTATTGGATTATTTGCATGAAATCAATCGCAAAATTTGCTATTTTAAAATTGAATAACTTTATGAATTACTTACAAGATGGTAGATGGCTGTGAAGGAAGCTATGAAAGGGCATAATCTCCTTTTCGAGTAAATAAAGAGAATATCTGACAGCAATTCTGAACAATACTGCCTTACACTTCGGGGCCGAAATGACGTTACTAAGGGGGGGGTCAAATCCTTTCTCTGAGGGAAAATTCCCCAAGATATGTAGTTGAAAAAGGCACTGGAAAACGCATGCTTTAACCGCAAACTTTTAAAAACGTTGTCCAGAGTGGAAACTTTTGAAAACGCATTGAATCCGAACACGTTTAGACGCACTGTAACCGGAATGATTTAAAAACGCTGACCAATCCACATTTATCATGCATTATCCTATGGATTAAAATGGTGCGTAAAGTGATTCCTTTTATTTTAAATGCGCTGTTTTCGAGCATTGTTGCGTTTATGCAGTTTACTATTGCCGTCTTAAATAATCAAAAGAATTATGAAAAAAGAGCGAGCAGTTTTGATACGGCTCCTTTCAATGAAAAAAATGCGTCTTTAAACATTTTCGCTATTTTATATTCTAAAACGACACTTAATAAAAGGTTCACTTTATCATCTGTCCAAATAAAAGCTTCATTCTTACCTTTGATGAACTTGAAGCAGTAGTTTTTGT